TTCCGCCCTTCTGGCCGAGGATGCACTGCAGATTGACGCAGCGACTATTTCCAAAGTAACCCTACTCTCGACAGCTGCCAACAAAATAACGGCTACTACCAAGCGGTCATCTGCTGAAGACATTTTTCCGCCCTTCTGGCCGAGGATGCACTGCAGATTGACGCAGCGACTATTTCCAAAGTAACCCTACCTCGACAGCTGCCAACAAAATAACGGCTACTACCAAGCGGTCATCTGCTGAAGACATTTTTCCGCCCTTCTGGCCGAGGATGCACTGCAGATTGACGCAGCGACTATTTCAAAGTAACCCTACTCGACAGCTGCCAACAAAATAACGGCTACTACCAAGCGGTCATCTGCTGAAGACATTTTTCCGCCCTTTTGGCCGAGGATGCACTGCAGATTGACGCAGCGACTATTTTCAAAGTAACCCTACTACTCGACAGCTGCCAACAAAATAACGGCTACTACCAAGCGGTCATCTGCTGAAGACATTTTTCCGCCCTTCTGGCCGAGGATGCACTGCAGATTGACGCAGCGACTATTTCCAAAGTAACCCTACCTCGACAGCTGCCAACAAAATAACGGCTACTACCAAGCGGTCATCTGCTGAAGACATTTTCCCGCCCTTCTGGCCGAGGATGCACTGCAGATTGACGCAGCGACTATTTCCAAAGTAACCCTACTCTCGACAGCTGCCAACAAAATAACGGCTACTACCAAGCGGTCATCTGCTGAAGACATTTTTCCGCCCTTCTGGCCGAGGATGCACTGCAGATTGACGCAGCGACTATTTCCAAAGTAACCCTACTCGACAGCTGCCAACAAAATAACGGCTACTACCAAGCGGTCATCTGCTGAAGACATTTTTCCGCCCTTCTGGCCGAGGATGCACTGCAGATTGACGCAGCGACTATTTCCAAAGTAACCCTACTCGACAGCTGCCAACAAAATAACGGCTACTACCAAGCGGTCATCTGCTGAAGACATTTTTCCGCCCTTCTGGCCGAGGATGCACTGCAGATTGACGCAGCGACTATTTCCAAAGTAACCCTACTCGACAGCTGCCAACAAAATAACGGCTACTACCAAGCGGTCATCTGCTGAAGACATTTTCCCGCCCCTTCTGGCCGAGGATGCACTGCAGATTGACGCAGCGACTATTTCCAAAGTAACCCTACTCTCGACAGCTGCCAACAAAATAACGGTTACTACCAAGCGGTCATCTGCTTAAGACATTTTCCCGCCCTTCTGGCCGAGGATGCACTGCAGATTGACGCAGCGACTATTTCCAAAGTAACCCTACCGACAGCTGCCAACAAAATAACGGCTACTACCAAGCGGTCATCTGCTTAAGACATTTTCCCGCCCTTCTGGCCGAGGATGCACTGCAGATTGACGCAGCGACTATTTCCAAAGTAACCCTACTCTCGACAGCTGCCAACAAAATAACGGCTACTACCAAGCCGAACGAACTTTCGCCAACCCGAATTACAAATGACTCGCTCTAATTGAAGTCAAGCAAATAAACATATTTTATTTGTTTATACCTTTGATTCTGTTCGTTTATTCCGAAGTTTCCCAGAAATATTACTAAGAACCTCCGCTGCTTCTCCACAAGTTTCACAAGCGAGAAGTGCGAGAGAAGAAACTCTTAGCATAGAAATCTAGTCATTTCAACTGTAAAATGATGAGACCATGCCGCCAATCTAGTACTGCACTTAAATTCGTAAACTCTATGTGACAAAGAGGAAAACTCATCAGAACAATTAACCTGAAAATATTTATAAAAAAAAAACAAAAAAAACATAAGGAAGCCACGTTAAGGCAGTGTGAAATTGAGTGAAGCCGAGATACCAGGTCTGGACCAATAACATTGCACATTCTTTTTTCTATTTTATCAAGAATCTTTGAATATATATCAGAAGCACCAGTCTAGATATGACAACAATATTCAATGCATGGACGAATGGTAGATTTATAAATGTGTAAAATAGATTCTGGCAAGAAAAAATGTCTCGTACAACGCAGTGAACCAACTTTCATAGCAATAGATCTAAAAATTGATTCAATATAATCTTTCCACTTGATGTCGTCAGAAAACGTTATCCTAAGAAATCACAATGAGTCACTTTCCTGGGAGTTAGCATTAGCCATGCTGTTGGAAGGCAAAAAGGTTCTCCCAGATAATTTTAAAGAGAATAGTTACGTTTTGGCGTCGGTGTTTTAGAGGCGTTAGGTCATTTCTTGCTCCAGTTAATAACAGATTATAGGACATTTTTTAGATCAGCTGCCAGTGTCGAACCGATCAGGCTTGCTATTAAAACAGGAATAAATAGTTGTCAACAGCATAGATACAGAGTTGAGAACTGATGACATCAGGAACGTCGTTGATGAAAATTAGGGACAACATTGGTCCAAGGATAGATCCCTGTAGGACGCGTGCATTAATGTAAAAAGACCTAGAAGAGTGGCAGTTCAAGGTAACTTTCATTTAACTTAGGCAACTCCACGAAATCGCTAAAAAATAGCATAGCTTGATGAAAAAGACGCCAAATTTGACGAAAACAAAATTTTATCGTCTAAATGTTAATATTATTATTAAGAGGAAAGACCAAAGTTTTTTTTAATTATTTAAAAAAAATTTCTTTCTTTTTAGAACATTCTAAATTTTGATTAAAAAAAAACCTTGTTTCTCTTTGTATCACTGGAACGAGTAAGACAATTTTTAGCAGGTTTTGCTTTTGTATGACACACATTAATTTGGAAAATCTTGCAAAAATAAAAATAATTGTCGGATGTTAATGAAACTTTCGGAAACTATTCACAGATGTTCGAAATTATTATAAATAAGTTTTTTTTTATTAAAGTCATGGCAGAAATATTTTTTTATATTTATTACCCCCCCCTAACAAATTTTATGAAAACGCTAGAAATTCGATCGCATGGGGTTTAGTGATTACAATAGTTAAAAGCACAGGGCTTTGAGGAATGCAAATCATGTTTTTTTTGTTTTTAATTGGACACCCCCTACCTGAAAATCAGCGCTGAATTGAAACATACAAAACGCAATAAAACAAAGATAATATTTAATTTCAAATGCTTTTATTTGCTTTTATGAATATGGACAATATTTTCTGAAAGCAAAAGATTTTTTCGATGAAAAATGAATTTTTAATACAATTATTTGTTATTTCTTAATTATAATAGATTTTTACATTTAAGTTGTTAAAATATTATAAAATTAGTTAAAAGCCGCATCGGGTTTCCTAAATGTCCTTATGAGATAGATCTTTTTTTAGCGCGTTGTAAATTGTATCATTTTGACTAATCAGAAGACACGCAGTAATTAATAAATCTAATTTTGTGTTTATAATCGGGCTGTAATTATAAAATATGGAAGACCAACCAGAATACAATTAAGTTCTGTTACTTGAGTTAAGCATTGTTCTTCGCTGTTAAGGCCTTTACTTTTGCGAAACACGTGTGGAGAAGTTAATTTCATTTTTCAATTTCAACTGAGAAAGGTACCTACAAGTATCAGTATCATCTTATGAAATTTATATGATCTTTTTTTTATATTAATCTCAGTTATGACATTTTTCCATAAATGAAATATCAAAATTAATAATAAAATGAATGGAAATACAAATAACACAGTAAAATGTAATAAATGTACATAAAATTATAGTATTTTATGTACACTTCTGAAAAAATTTCATAAGAAAGATACCTATAAATTAATTAGATACCTTTCTTAAGAAATATGAAATTTAATGTCACTCTTAACAGTCTTATTTTAATTTCTTTATAATATATTTTCCATAAGCATTGTAAACGTAAAGGTGAAAGCTAAGTACAAAAAAAAAAAAAAAAAATTAGAGCGCTGAAAGTTTTCCTTTAAAATAACGAGGTAAATAATTTTTTCACTTAAATGTAAATAATTTCACTTTTCTCCCTCAGTATAACAAATTATTCTCATGGAATCTGTCAATATGTCATTCATCACCTGTCAAGTGACGCGAAAGTTTATGACCGGCTTTGTTTTTATTTCCAAATTACATCTTTTCGGCGCAGAAGCTAAGTTAAGCTTGGTTCAAAATATTTTAAATAAACATTATAATTTCTGATTTTCTTAAAATAAATTTTGAAAAAACGATAATTGATTTTTAAAAGAATTTCAAAGTGAGATTTTCATCTTTTTTATAAAATGGAAAAAAATGGATGCTATAATCGATTATCTGTAAATTTTGCTGACTCAAAAAACAAGATTTTTAACGAAAATTTCGGACGTGCTCGGAACGATTAAAAAATGTAAAAAAGTACCCCCAAAATACTTTGATCTTTCCTCTTAATAATAACATGAACATTTAGACGATAAAATTTTATTTTCGTCAAGTTTGGCGTCTTTTTCATCATGCTAGGATCTTTTTTAGCGATCTCATGGAGGTACCTAATTTAACTGATTCAATCTTTCTTAATCAAAATAAGAAAGATTGAATCAGTTAAAAAATCCGTCTAAACTTTGAAAGAATTTCCAAATCAATGTTGTTTTTCTTTCCACTCCCCATCAAAACAAATATAGCAATTCGTTCAAATTTTCCGTTCAGATTTGCCGCTTGAACGTAAAAAAAAAAAAAAAAATTACAGGGTTCTAAATGATTTTTACTTAAAAAATATACTTTGAACTTTCATTTTAATAATGATTTTGACGATAACATTTTATTTTTATTATGCTTTGGGCATTTTTTTTTTATCATATATCAATCTTTTTTAACGTATTATTGGTGGTACCTAAACAAAAGAATAAACAAGTCTTCGGTCTAAAATAGAAGTGTAACAATTTTTCTAAACCGCTCATAAGTGGAACGAAGGAACCGATTGATTTAAGTTAGATTTGAAATTCAAACAAACAAAATTACCGTTTTTTAAAATGTTGCTGAAAAGCTCGTTTCAAATCAAGTAAACTTCAGCAATTATCACTTAGAAGTTAGCGGAGGTCAAATGAGGAAATCGTGAGAAGAGGAATGAGGAGAGGGAGAAGAAGGAGAAGGAAGGAAAGAGAGAAAAGGAGTAAGAGGAAAAAAGAGAGTTGGAGAGAAAAATAGGAGGAAGAAAAGACAAAAAGAAAAGTGAAAAGGAAAAAGAGAAGAGAGAAAAATATAAATGAGAAGAGAGAGTGAGGATAAAAGGAAACAGAGTGGAGAGGAAAGAAGAGGGGAGAAAATGAACGGAAAGAAAGGGAAAGGAAGACGAAAAGTGTCAAGATAACAGGGAACGAGAGAGAGAGAGAGAGAGAGAGAGAGGTGGGTAGGGTAGGGGACTAGTAGAGAGAATGAGAGAAGTCCGTTGATCCAAGATCAAATTTCCATTTGATGATTGGCGGAAAAGCTTCTACGATTGAATGCCAATCGCATGACTTAATGGAGCAGACCTTGTTTTTCGGCAGCCGTCGTAAAAATGTAATCGCTGACAGGGATTGACCGTAATCTTCCGTCTACATAAACAGCCAACAGGCCGCTCGTTCCGTCCGACAAACAGCCTCGGCACCCCCAACCGGGTTGACCACTTCTAGGCACCGTCCAACTAGCTGAGCCAGACGATAAGGTGGACGGACAAATGAACGTAACGTAAAGGCGGACTCAGCCTGTCCGCTTCCAGACACATCTCAGCCGGCAAATATTCGTTTCTTGAATAAACGTGTTTCACACACACACACACACACACACACACACACACACACACACACACACATGATGTGTGTGTGTGTATGTATGTGTGTGTGTAATAATAATAATAATGGACGAGAAAGAGTGTGAGAAATGGATAAAAAGGCAAGATAAACGAAGGCAGTAATATTGAGAGAAAGAATGAAAAGAAAATAAAGAAAAAGAGAGAGTAAACAGAGGAGGAGAGATAAAAGAAAGGGAGAGTGAAGAGAAAGATGAGAGAGGGAAAATAGAACAGAATAAAGAAAATAAGAGAGTGAGAGGCATAAAGAATGTTAGAAAAGAGAATGGTCGAAAATTAAGTGGGAGAAGGAAAAAGAGAGAGATGGGAGGGAGTATGAAAAAGAGAAAAGAAGTGAAAGAAGAGAGAAGCAAAGGAGAGGAAATATATATATAGAGAGAAAATGGGAAGATGAAGAGAAAAGAGGAAAAGCGAGAGAATAATAGAAAAGAGAGAAGAAGAGAAAGGAAGTGAGAAGAATATAAAATAGGAAAGGAAAAGGTAAAAAATTAAAAAAGACATTTGAAAGGAAAGAAAAATGAATCTTAAAAAAAAAAAAGAAGAAATTAATTTGAACGAGAAAGAAAAACGATAGATGAAGAATAGAAACAAATTCGAAAGAAAAGTGAATATAAAAGAAGAAACAAGACCGGCAAGGTACAAAAAGGAGGACAAAAAAAGAATGAAAAGGAAAAAAAAAGTAAAGAAAGAAAGAAAAGTGGCAAAATGACAAGGACGTGAATTCGAAAAACCGAAAGTCGAAAAAGAATAAAAAAATAGTAAAGAAAAAAAACAACAACAAAAAACAAGGCATAAATTCGAAAGAACAAAAAAAAAAGCACAAAAAAGTAAAATGAGAGAAGAAAGAGAAGAAATAAAATATATAAAAAAAGAATTACAAAAGGAAGGAAACAGAGAAAAATAGAGAAAGAGAGCGAATGGAATGAAAGAAAAAAAGATAAAAAAAGAAAGAAATAAACATTAAAAAATGGAATTGAAATAAGTAAAAAAGTAAGACGAAAAAGAATGAAAAGTAAAAAGTGACTTAAAAGTCAAACGAATGATGTTAAAAGAAAGGAGAAAAATAAAGATAAAATAGACGAAATGGAAAAGCAGAAGAAAATACCAGAGAGAAATAGAGAGAGAGAGAGAGAGAGAGGGGGGAGGGGGGGTAGTTAGGTTGGAGAAGTGATAAAGAGCGCAAGGTAAAAGGGTAAACGAGAAAAGGACGTAAAAACAAACGAATGAATGAAAGGTAAAAGGGAGGGAAGTGAATAAGCGACCAAGTGAAGAAACCTTGAGATGAACAAGAATACAAAAAGAAAAAAGAAAAGAAGAAAGGTGAATTGTAGAAGTTTAAGAGAAAAAAGAAAGAAAGAAAGAAAAAGAGAAAAAGAGAAATAGGAACTGTGGTAGTTAAAGAGAAGAAAGAAGAAAAGAAAGAAAGAAATGTGAATTGTGGCAAATTAAGAGAAGAAAGAAAAAGATTAAGTAATTATAAGAAAAAAGAAATGGAAGGAAAGGAAAAGAAAATAGAAAAAGAAAAAAATCAATGAATTAGTAAAGATGAAAAACAAGGAGGAAAGAAGAAAAAAGAGAGAAAAAAGAAACTGGTGGGAGTTTGAAGGAAAGAAAAGTAAGGAAAGGCAAAAGTGAAAAGTAAATGAGTAAAAAAAGTAATAAAAAGGAGACTTAAAAAAATAAATCGAAAGAATCTTAAACGAAAGAAAATTAATGAATATTAAAGAAGGAAAAAAGAGAAAAAGGATTTTAAGAGTGACAAAGTTTAAAAAAAAAAACGAAAACGGCAACAACAAAAAACACTACGTTCTTATAAAAATAATAAAAAAGAAAATTTTAAACTGGTGAAAAACAAAAAAGTAAAAAAGAAAATAAATGAAAGAAAGACAAAATAACAATAATAAACCAGCAAAAACTAATCAATAAGCAAGAGAGTAAGGAACTAAAATGGCGGGGGGCAACAGAGAAGAAAAATAAATAGAATAAATAAAAATAAGCCATCAATAAAGACAGAAGTCAGACACATCGAAAAAAGGCAAGCGACGCGATGGAGTATTAACGGCTTTTTTGTTTTCTGCGTTCTGCTCGTTCTATATTCATTGCTAGCGTTTGGCGCGGATAAATTGTCCAATAATTATTGTCATCCCTTACCAATTACTGAACAAGATTCAATAAATTACTACTTCCCCTTCACAACACCCTTTGCACCCCACATTCTCTCATTTCTTCTTTTTCCCCTTCTCGTCTGTTTCTTGAGATATTACTCGTCGTCTTTCCGGGCAAAGTTTTTAGGCCACTCTGGTGCCGACTTCCAACGTCTTGAATCATTTCGTCTTCAATCGGGCGGCAGACGATTCTGTCCATTTTTCTTCTTTATTAAGTTATTTTCCTGTCTCTTTATTTCGTGTGCGGCCAAGTCCGACGCGGTAATAGGTGGATACAATTCACAATTAATATCTCCGTTCATAAACGCTAATGCCAACATTATAGCCGTAACAAACTATTTATTTTGCTTTAATCATAAAATGACTTCGCTTCCTGCAAAATTAGTCGAAATCACATTCGTCTATATAAACTAGCTGAATTTATACGTTTTGATGGCTAAGATTTATTGCTTATTTTCAGCTCACGAGTTCTCATATTAAAGATTAATATTTCTAGTTTAGTGTATAGTGTAGAAAAAAAACTTAATTAAATTATCATAATTTATTTCAGTATCTCTGACATCTTTCGCGCCAGTTCGTTGGTCCAAGGGGAACCATTTTGAGCGTGAAGGCCACATTGAAATCCATCGTCCCTCATAGAGGCCGCATTCATCAAGAGGGTTTTTTTTTATCTTAGGTAAATAATGCATAAAATAGAATTTAATATTGTTATAGACAAGCGTATGGTTGCAAGAAAGAAATACGACAACAGTAGAAATAGATTTACGTGGTTTATTTCAACAGGAACGTGAGGGTTCGGGACAGCTACCTTGTGGTAAAGTTCATAAGCCGGCTTTCGGATCTAGGTCGATCTCTCATAGTAGTTCACACATGTTGACGGTAGTTGATGCTCTCCTGCTGCTGATCGCTCGGCCTGACCGTGACGGTCTGTTTGCGGCCACCTGTGGACTGCCTGTTGAACTTCCGTGTGACCCCTTTTATAGCGATTTTTATGGCTTAACAGGCTCGAGAAATGAAGCGAGTATAATTAGGAGGGAAGCATTTTTATTGGACGAAAAATAGAGCACTTTAAATATTATTTTATTTTTCGACTGGAACACGTGTGTCGGGAACATTTGTAAAGAAAGATAATGGTCATTTTGTGACGGGGCTTTGTCCCGTTCACATCCGGTTCTCGCTCTTGAGTGTTTGCCTGTAAATCAGCCGAGATATGTCTTATTTTATTTTATAACAATATATAATCAAATAAAAACAGACATTATAAAACTTAAAAACAAGACATATTCAAACACATTTTATTCACTTTAGACAGATTAAAAACTTCTTGACATTGCTTCTTTTGAGATAGAATTTTGACATCAGGCTCTAACATGGTGGTTTTAGTTTTAATTGGTCTTCTAAATACTCATCTGTCAACTGTGTTCTCAACGAATTCTTGATTTGTGTCAAATACGAGAAAGTCGTTTCACAATTGTAAGCTGAAGAAAAACAGGAAATAAGTCGGCGTGCATGTTCACGGAGGTGAGGATATTCTACCGCCCTTTTCCAAATTTCAGTGGGATTTTTCTTTCTGTCAAACAGTTTTCAGGATATTATCTTCAGGCAACTCAATAAGCTCTATTTGTAACTCCTCGGGAGCCTGTGGTACGCTAAGTGAGACTGAAAAGCAAATTTCAGGGTGACGTAAGCTTTTCAAAATCACTGAATATTGATAAAGAAAACAAGTGACCAAATGTTACATTTAATTACAGATTCAATCAACAATGTATTTTCCCTGATTATCTATGACTTCCTTCCATCTATTAACAAGCTTACTAATTCCATTACTGTAAAATTCTTTTGGCTTTGATTCGAAGAACTCACAAATGTCAGTTTTAACCTCTTCCTGTGTTCCTGTTTCTTCCAAATGATTCTGTAAGCTACGAAACAAATGGTAGTCTGAAGGAGCAAGATCGGGAGAATAAGGTGGATGAGGAATTTTCTCCCAACCAAGTTCTTCGATCTTTTGTGATGTGATTCTTGCTGTATGGGGTCGCGCATTGTCCTGATGAAATATCAACTCTTTTCGATTCACTAGAGTAGATCTTTTTTCCCTCAAAGCTTGGTTCAAACGCTCTAATTGCTGACAGTATATTTGAGCATTAATTGTTGCATTAGGTGGTAAGAATTCAAAGTGGATTATTCCTTGGCGATCCCACCAGATTGAAAGAAGAACCTTTTGCCCATGAAGTTCCCTTCTCGGCTGTGGCTGGGGTCCTTCCCCTTTACCAAGCCACTGTCTACGATGCTTAACGTTTCGATAAAAGATCCATTTTTCGTCGCCAGTCACAAGTCTATCCAAAAAAGTTGAAACAAGTTGGCGAGAATGGAGAGAAGAGCAGATGTCAACTCGGGATTTGAGGTTGTTTTCAGATAATTCATGAGGCACCCATTTTTCAAGTTTAGGGACTTTTCCAGGTTTTTGAAGATGACGATGAACAGGTGTATGGTTTGAACTGAGAACCACTGCCAATCCCTCAACTGATAAAGCAGGATTTTCTTCAAGGGCTTCTTCAAGAAGCTTTTCATCAAACTCAACTGGACGTCCGGTTCGATCTTCATCTTCAAGGGTGAAATCTCTACCTCTGAATTTTGCAAACCATCTTCTGCAAGTTCTTTCATTCACACATTACTCTCCATAAACTGAGTGAGTGTTTCTAGCCGCTTCGGCTGCTGAATTTCCTTTCTTGAACTCATAAAGCATTATGTGCCTCAAATGATTCTTGGGTACTTCCATGTTAGCAGGGTTTTAATCAAACAAAATTTAATTTTATTGTTCTCTGAAATAAAATTTGATCAGTTTAAATGCATCTAAACATAAAACTAATGTTCAGCTCCATTAGACATTATAAAATACTCTTTAAATTTCGTTCATTTTAACAAAAAGTTAAAATTCGGACAGAACTTATGGGATGACCTGATATCTTACAATACTTATAATCTTTGGTAAGGTATTATTTGAAATAGCAGATTTTGCACAGAGATGTTGTTGATGTAGAATGCAATGAAAAGAAATCAGTACATTTAGAGTTGTTTTTTCTCTTTTTAGATGTGCAATGAATCCTTCATTTTTAGCCATCATAGCTAGAGCCCCATCAGTACACATACCAATTTAGTAAGATTCAGCCCAACCTGATGACATTTCTTTTTGAAGTTATTAAAAATATCTATTCCTTGTGGTGTTCCTTTGAGGGTGTCCAAAGAAAGTAATTCTTCAAATAATTGAAAATAGTCAGTTATTGCACGAATGAAATACAATACTTATGCCGAATCATTGGAATCTATCGATTCATCCAAAGCTAAGGTGTAATATAAATTGTCTTTTTTTTTAATTATATTTTAGAGCTAGTCTGTTAAATCATGGTGTCGATCTGTATTAGTCTTTCTTGAAAAAGGCACATTTTTATATTTGCTAAGTTTATCTGGATCGAAACATTTTACGACTTCTACAATGCATTTATTTATGAGCTCTACAACGCTGAATGGTTTACCCTTTTTCCAAGCAAATATGCAGATTTCTAACTTGCTTCTGTTGAAACATTTCCTGAATTTAATACAGAATTGAATAATTGTCTCCTTTTTTGCTTTC